TTTTATAGTAATTACACATAATTACTATAAATGGTATTAACCAAACTCTATTTGAAAACCCCCAGTCCCACCTTAAAAACCAAACTTTGGCTTGAAAATGGAGGCTATTGAGGATTTACCACTGACCTGCGCGTGACTTTATTTTGTCCGACGGTGGATGGATGCTGTCCAGAGATTCTGTTTTTAGACATTTAGCTGTATGACTAAGACTCACACCAATAGTTTTTCTGGTTGGAAGCAGATCTCTGAATCCTTTTCTCCCTCGTTCCTTTTTGTTTGCAGAACAAGATTAGTGCCTTTGTAACAATCGACCCGTTCCTCAGTGCCAAATAAACAATGTGTAGTTCCATCACAACTTAATCATCACCTTCATACTGCTGACTACAACTCTGAGGGACTATTGTGGTGTACCTCAGGGATCAGTAATTGGACCTGTTATTTCCCACTTTTAGTCAGCATGGTGTACATTACCACTTCATCAGAACTGTTATGGTTCACCAAATTCTCCTGTCAGCAAGCTTAACGGAACCTAAAGACACAGAAATGCTCCCATTCATGCCGTCATTTTTTTTATTTCAGACATTGTGTTGAAGGCTCTGAAATTGTGTTAAGCTGCATCAACTATTTATTCCAAAAGGGAAATGAAATGTTATAACTCGTATTGATCGTGTTGGTCAGTAAGGATCTCTGGTAGCAGTCAGTCTTGCAAGGAATCTCAATTTGTTGCAAGACTGATAGCTGGTTAATTTTCCAGTGATTATGGTTCAAAGGTAACTCTTCATAGGTGGACTTTTAGTCTAGATTTAAAGAAACTCAGTGTTTCAGCTGTTTTGTAGTTTTATGGAAGTTTGTTCCAGATATGTGGTGCCTAGAAGCTGAATGCTGCTTCTGTCTTTGGTTCTGCTTCTGGGGATACAGAGCAGATCAGAACCAGAGGTCTGCTCTAACTCAAATGACTCATCATGCTCCCATTTTATTTTATTTTTTTAACCATAGAGATCCAGGCCAAACCATTTATTGAACCCTCTTCATTCTGCAGGTCGTAACATGCTGTTGGTCGGTGTGGACGGACCGAAGGTCCCCTGCGAGGAGATCCTGGTGAAGCACACGGGCAACCGCGTGTACAACGTCAGCTACCAGCTCAAGGAGAAGGGCGAGTACATCCTGGTGGTGAAGTGGGGCGACGAGCACATCCCTGGCAGTCCCTACCACCTCACCGTCTAACGGCCACCGCAGCGACCCGGAGGTCCCGTCCAGCTGGTGGCTGCTTAAGCCTCCAAAGTCTTCCCATTGTTGCAAATTAAGATTCCCTGTGTGGTAGCAGTTTAACTCATGTGAGCCAGTTTGCTTTTTATCCTTCACTGTAATCCAGTCTAAAGAGCAACACAGTGAATGCTTGTTTCCTTCAGAAATGGGGAGGGGAGGGGAAGACGCCCCTTTGATCACTGTAAACTATCAGAATATTTAACACTTTCAGCCACGTGTTGACCTTAAATTAGTGCAGAATGCCAGAATATTGTAGTAACAGGTTTTGGTCCCCAGCTTTAGATGGAAGGTTACTGTTTACACTGGAGGAGCTCTTACAGACATGAAAAATGGATTTTGGAGCTTCTAGATGAGCAAATCACAGGACAAAGGTTTATAAGCGACCCTTTCTTGTCTTTTTTTTTTTTTGGATTATTTTTGTGTTACAGTGACATTACTTTGACCTGTGTCTGTATAAAACTCAGCTTGTCGCGTATCGGCGTTGCCCAGTCAAAGCTCACCCTCGCTCGGCTTTTCCGATCATCTGTCATCGTTTTAATCTGCTGCTAGTGTGATCCAGTTTTACCCACTGCTGTCCTTTAGTAGTCAGGAAATCAAAGAGTGTGCTAACACGTATTTAGCTTTCTCTGAACACGGCTGCTGGAAGATGTCGCTTTGTGTGGCTACGTTAGACACCAGCGTGCGCTCCGCATGTCCTTTAAGATTGGGGAAACTCTTTCCGAGGAGGTTTAGGAAAAAGTTCCGAGTCGATGACCAACGGGTCGAAAAAGGGAAGTTTTCAGACTTGTCAAAAGAGTTTATAGTTGAAGGCTTTGCTGCGGTTTAAGTCTGTGTTTTGCATTTCACCCTCCATTAAAGCATAACTCTGCTTTGTGCCTTTATCTGTATTTCAAAGCTAAATAACTGAATTTTGTCCAAAATAAAAAAAGGCTTTTAAAGTGATTGTAAGACAGTATTTTGATACACAATAAAGTATTTTTCTCAATCGAACAGAAATTTATTTATTTTATTTTTTTTACACTCTGCTGCGCCCACACATTTTTATGAAACACTTTTAACTAGTACTGATTCACTCTGCCACCAGAGGGAGCCGCTGAGTGATTATGTAGACCTTGAAATCAAATGCCTCTATGAAATAAGTGTGACATTTGTATTTCTCAAATGGAAATGATTGTCAGCAGAAGTCATGTCTGGTCTGATTCACAAATTCAACTTCATGGTCCATGAACGGCTCGGTATCGTTTGGACTGAAGCAGGTCAGCAGATCGACATGGAAAATGACAGGAAGAGAAAATAAGAAACGTATGAAGAGTTCTTCATCTCAACCCAATCTGCCCATCAGAACAAAACTGGGAGCACAAAGATCTTTTCAGCCGATTGTTCAGCTTGTTTTATGGCAGTATGTCAAATGTTAGGGGGAAAATGAACAGTTCTTATTCTAATTCAAAAATACTTTATTGATCCCAAATGGAAATTAAATAAAATTACTTGCTATAGCAAGAGGAAATGGAAATGCATTTCAAAACAAAATGTAAATTCAATTCAAAAAACTTTATTGATCCCAAAGTGAAATTAAATGTAGCTTTGAACCAAAAAACAATCTTTCCAGAGCTCAGAGGAGCCTGATGAGCGTCAGACGGCACGTCCACGAAGGAAAATGTTCATATTTCAGCTGATCCGTAGCTGAAGACGAGACAAAATTCTTGCTGGTTGGTAGGGCTCTCCATGGCAACCGTAAGACCTCTTCCACCTGCCTATCAGCTGTTTGGCAAACATGCCAGGAAAAGGACTATTCTGTCCTACCATCACAAATGTAAACATGCAGTTAGCTAAAATCTACTTCAACTGGAACTGTGTGCTTAGATGAGACTAAAGTTGAGCTTTTTGGCAACAACTTCTGCAGGTATGTTTGGCATGAAGAACAGAGGAATGTGGGCCTACCGTTTAGTACGATGGAGGATCTTTGATGCATTGGATGAGTTTTCTTCTAAAGGTTCTGGAAACATCATTAAATACTAAATATGAGTAAGTCCATAGTGAAAATGAAAATTGCTCACCACCGTGAGCAATTTTCAACAATACCCACCACTGAGTATTTCAACAATATAAAAGTCTGAAATTCAACCTTCTATAAAATTCAACCGTCTCAGTTCCTCGATCTAGATCCTGAAGTTTCCACAGAACTGCTGTACTCAGTTTATTCTGTTTTAGTTTAAGACATTTTCGAAAGGCTTGACAAATTCTCCCACATCTGTACGCTTTGCAGCAACATAACTGAAATAAAATGAAGTACTAAGGCACGAAAAACATCTAATGCTGATCTAATTTAATGTTTCCTACTATATTCTCTCTCCCCATACCGTGCATATCTATGTATGGCTATCTACATAGATATAGCATCAGATAGCATCTCAGCAGCCATCTGATGCTTCTTTTCTCTGGAAACATTTTTTTTTTATTCTTCCCGCTGCATCAAAACGTTAGAATAAATTCCTCAGACAAGCATAACGTCAGGTGTCTGTGTAATTATGTCTGTGTTTAGAGACGGAAATGACTCTGATCAGGTTCTGGTGAGTCCTGATTGTCAGCTTGTGTCGCTGGGTTTTCTTGTGTTTCTGCCAAACTTCTCTAGAATCAATACACGAACTGAAAGCAGAGGCTGCTTTCAATTTGACTTACTGACAGCAAAGACATCGTTAGTCTGAGAGTATAAATAAACACACACACGCACACACACACACACACTTCTGTTTGTAGCATACCTGAAAAAATACTTCAGTGCTTCATTCATACGGACAAAAATGAAAAATATTTCCAAGCTTTGCAAAAAACTAGATGAACAGAACAAGAAAGAGCTTTCCACAATATCACCAAATAATAATTGAATAAAAACAAATATTCACAGGCAAACCAATGCAAATTAGAACTAAAGTATAAAATAATCAAAATGAAAAAGAAAATGCCACAAATAACTTTTGCTTCGGTCGGCGATGTGAAACAACTAGATCTGAGATCTGAGTGGTCTCACCTGGATGAATGAAGGATTAGGACTGCTGAGGCTGAACGCTGTTACTGCTGCCTGGCACTCAGTGGAGATGCATCGCCTCGTCTCAGGTTTTTAATGTTCAGCATCTTTTTATCAGCTCTACCTGGAAACCTCTCAGTTACAAACCGAATCAAATTATATTTTGTCCCTTTTGTTGCTTGTTGCTTCTTTCACGTCAGGTCTGCTACATTATCAATAAATATACCTTATTGGTAATATATTGTAACGTAACTTTCCAAAAAATGCAACCTCAGCTTAAAAGCAACATCAGCCCTGAGGCCCCTGGACAATATAGGATAATATAGGAGTACATGTTAATGTTAAAAAAAAAAAAAAAGAAATTTATGAAATACATGACTATACACATTTTTATATTTATATAATTTGGAGCTGCTAAATAAGAGGGAGGGGCCTCCACCTGAATTTTTTAAAACATCCATCTGTGGTTAATTATTCTATATTATGTGTTTCACTCAGACATGAAGTTCCTGAAAATAAATGGACTTGTCGGTAATACTCTAATCTATTGATTGGGTCGTTTTGTGCAGATTTTAAATGATTATTTACAGAGTATCCCATTTCATCCATTGTGAAAATTAAAATGGTTGCTTTGTGATGGAATGTGACCCAGTGACGCCCAGTTCATTTTCCTGCTGCACCAGTTCCAACCCTCCACCTGTTCTGCTCCACCCAGCCGCTGACTGCTGACAGGTGAGCACCTTCCTTCAGATCTTCAGGTCAGAATGTGTTTCGGTCGCACCAAAATGATGGAAATATAACTTTTAAGACGTACTTTGTTCTGTTATTTTTGTTTCTGGTTGTTTTTTTCCGGCTGTTTAGCCTTGCTCTCCTGACAGCTCACCGTCTGATCCGGATCCTCCACCTCTTCAGGATGCCTCTCAGCGATAAAACTGATGCCCAGCTCAGCGATTTACTGACTGACTATGGCATCAAGCATGGACCAGTAGTGAGTAGGTATCAAACTGGGAGGCTCAAACTGGTGGCGCTAATCCTTCCTCAGGCTTGATGTGGCTTTGTGTTTCAACCATCAGAAGTTTTTCTTTGGCAGCTGCAGATAAACGACTGAAGTGTGATGTCAGGTGATGATTATACATAAATATTACTGCTGTTGACAGGGAATGTTTTTTCGCAGTGTTTGCTAGTCAACAACAGGTACAGTCCTTGGTAAAGTTCTCACATTTATTCAAAATATGGTTTCAAGAACCAATGAGCTGCTTTACAAAAGGTTTGTTTATAGACTATAGTTTGATTAGTAGTGTAAAATGATTACTTAATGGTGATACATTTAATTAGCATGAGGTACATTGAGTTGCTAGATAAGGACAATGTTACATGGCTGTTACAGTTTATGATTTTTTTTAAAAGGTACATGATATAATTTATTAGATTATTGACAAAAAATACATCACATGATTGTTATTTTTACATTAGGTATTAGCCGTCATTATGTTATTGCTGATTGTCACCAGGTTTGGTGTGAATTGTGTGTTTTGTGACGTTGTGAACTTTCTGACCACAGACTCCACTCGAAGTCTGTATGAGAAGAAGCTGGAGGAGGCCTTAGCCAAGGACCGGACCTTCTACAGAGAAGAAGGTAGCCTGTTTCACTCAGACGAAACTGTAAAGTTCATGTTTTATTTGGTCAAGTTTGATAAACTGCTGCACTTTGATTTTGCTTCAAATGCCTGGAATTTGACCCATTTCAGTTCATGCAGCAAATTTGCCCCCTAATTATCCACATCCCAAGTGTTTCTAAGCAAAAGAGGAAAAAATTTAAATCGCTGGGGGAGTTTTGTTGTTGTTTTTGTTGTTGTTGTTTTGTTTAGTGTTTTTTTATGCCTGGTGTAAAGCTTTACCTTGACTGCTTCTGGAAGTTGTATATTCTGGTTATTCAGTTAAATAATAGAAAAGGAGGTCACACCAGCCTGCCAGCTAAAACGGAGCAGATCTCTGATTTATTTACTTTTAACAAGCTTGTTGTGGATTTATGGATATAAACAATGTTTAAACTTTCTTTTCATTTTCCCACTTAGTCAGATTTTAGATTATCAAACCAAACACAATCCATGCATGCACAGAAAACACAATGAGATCTTTAAAGCCTTTGCTTTGTTGTTGTTGTTGTGATTCATCATCTGATCTCCAGCTCTTATGAAATACACCTGAATATTTGTGTGAGCCATTGCTTTCAATTTCCCCGAGGGTTTAAGAAACGTTAATTATGTAGGAAGGATCCATGTCATCAAACTGATCCGCCAAATAGTTTCACTTTAAATCTGCCGCTGTGGCTTTTCCCCTTTTCCTTCCTCGTTGTTCAGAGAGATGATGAATGATGGAGATCAGTTCATTTTAACCCTTTAAGCAGCTTTATGCTTCTTACTGCATTGTGACACAAAGGAAGAAACAGGAGCACATTGGCAAAGAAAAGAAAATAATCTCTTTAATCAGATAACTCTTGCTTATTTTCAGTTCTTTCCTCTTGTTTTTCTTGGCTAACTACACAATTCAAGTTTTTCAAATGTAAGCTTGATGTCATCTGCTATTTAAACTATCTAAACTCTGTGGATACTTCACTTACTCCTGTGTTGCTGTATTTTATCCTGACAAAGTGAATCAGATCATTTATGTAAATGAGTTCAGAAGTGTAAGAATGTTTGTTGTTGCCATGCAGAGGAGGAAATCACCTACATCATATGTCGCCATCCGGTGAGTCCTGATCGTAAAAGCTTTTGTCTTTGTGTTTGTGCCAAACATTTCTACTCCTGAAGCCACTAATAATCTAATAATCAACAGCATCTTTTCATTTTGACAGAGAAGAAAGAAGACCTCAGCCAACCCGTCAGCACAGTTTTTGCCCGGCTCTGAGCAGAATGGAGATCAGCCACCGGACCAAGCTGAAGAGTGAGTGTTGCTTTTTGAACCTGGCCATCAAGCAGACGCATGAAAGATGAGACAGAGCAAAAATAACAATTAGAGAACAGAAGGAGCCGTTTCGGATGAGAGCTGAAACAATAGAAGAAGTCCAGTTGTCTTCTTCTCAATCAGATGGTCGTGTCCTGGACGACACCAGTGTACCGTGGCTTACTGAGGTCAAAGGTTATTTGTTTATATCACCATCGTCACGTGGAGAGTCATGTGGTCCTCATCAGGAGTGTCCACTGCCAACTTTCAGCTGCTCTCAGAATCTGACACAGTGGAAATATTCTATTGTTCACTGAAAGCAGTAGAAAACCAAACTAAGGTTTGTACTGGCTCAATGACCAAGAAGAAACAATGTCAACTGGTCTGGTTTGAAAATTAAACTTTGTTGCCATTTTTGTGACGTTTTTATGAAAAGATGAGCCTAAGTCAGTCTGCTCATATTACAGACCAGGATGCAGATGATGGGAATTTGTCCTTTATTATTTATTTATTATGTTTCTATGCAGATGATCATGTTCTGTTTGTTTGTGTACAATGTTCCGTTCTCCAGGATGGACCAAGAAAGCAGCACCGAACTGGATCAACAGACACAACAGAACCTTCATCTGTGAGGCCCGCTTTTTGATACCTGCATGTTTAAGATAAAAAAGAGTCTCTTTCCTGCTCTACATCTTCCCTTCCTCTGTCTCAGTGTGTCTGTGAAGACGAACCACAGAACAACCAGTCACAGCAAAATGAAAGTCAAAGGGCCAATCAGTCGGCAGTCAGCAGGAAAAACACGGATGGTGATCCCAGCGGTGCTGGTGCTGACCGGGTTAGCAGCTGGATGCTACCTCGTCCTCCCCACTGTGATGTGAAATCAGATTCCTGGCTTTGTTTTACTTATTTGTGCTTTTTTTTTTCTTCTCTCAGAAAGTAATATTTTACCCAATTAGTCAGCACAGAAAGCTTTAAAGGTCTAAAGTTCACACTCCATTTCACCGCTGCGTCTGCTGAAACAGAAGCATTGAGAATCAGTCATTCTGCTTAGCAACAGCAAGCCTGACCATGCTCCTTTATTTTGACCATGATTGATTCTAGTTCCATACTAAGCTACAGTACTTTTTCTTTCCCTTGAGCGTACTGCTGGACCATCACTTCTCCTGCTTCATCTTCTGAACCCTAACTTGATCGCAGAGCATGATGGCCTCTCACACTAAGTCTGCTTGAGGCTACTTCCTGTTAGAAGGGAGTCGTTCCTTCCCCCTGTTGCCATGTGCTTGATCACCACTATAGATTGCTGCAAAGCGATCCACTGTAATGAGTTCCTTAGATGGATAACCTCTTCCAATCTGCATTATCAACTAAATTTGAGTGAACTGGATGATAAATAGGATAGGAGTGAATTTATGTAACTGAAAGTGAATCTGTGTGTGCAACAACACAGGATGGATTTGATTATGCACTTCTGGATGCATTTTTTTAACCTTGTAAAAAGTGTGTTGAGATGTTGTTTGCTTGTTTTGACAATAAAGGGTAACTGTTTGTATTTTTACCACATCAAAGACTGAATGAAGACTGTTTTATATTTTTAGAATAAAAAGTACAAAACATTGATTGTAAAACATAAGAAAAACAGACGTTTTATTTAAGATTCAAAAGTATTGGTAAAAGCAAAGTAACTCTATTTGCATTTGTATTTAAAATAAAAATAATATTAAATAAGAATGTGAGGGGCCCATGGTGTCCTATAGGACCCCGGTCTTAGTCAGGTTAATAGGCAAAGGAGGCAGCTGAGGTTCTAGAGGGATGACAGGCGCTGCGCTGTGAAGACAGAGAAAAAATATTAAAAATTGAAAACAAAGCATTATAAGTTGTGGTAGATGTGTGTGTATGTGTGGTGTGTCTGCGTGTGTCCGTGTGTGTGTGTGTGTGGTGTGTTGCTGAGGCCCCACCTCATCGAATGGCTCTGGAACCCGAGCGCAGTGATGAAGATGTTGATGAGAACCGTGAAGAAGACGAACACCGTGGCTACGTTGTTCATCGTGTCCAGCTTGGTTCGTTTCCGTTCATCATTCAGATCATACTTCACTGCTGGCACGAAACAAAACTACGTGAGCTTCATCAAACTTTAACGAAGGGCAGAAGAGATGGAGAACTACAGAGTCTGGCACAGAATCTGAGACATTTTAAACTCGTGTGATGTTGCGACTGAAGGGTAGCAGCTTTATCTGAAAAAACTGTGGAAAGCCTGAGACATCTCTGTCGCCCCCTGGTGGCTGTTCAGTAGTGAGCGCTACATCTGTGGACCGACAGAACATGAGCTCCAAAATATAATCAAACCTGAGTCTAACATTTTAAAAAAAATATCTAATTTTTACCTTTTTTTCTTTTCTTAATGTTTAAATAATCAAAATGTAGATTTTCAAACAACCGACTTGTTAAATAATAAGTAAATAACATTTTAATTTATTACTGTATTTTAACAAAATATTTGTGAGCTAACATACAACACATTAAAACAGAAAGAAAGCTTGGTTTCTTTATCAAATTACTGGAATATTAAGGTCATTGCAGACAAAAAAAAAATTGAATACATTTTTGCCAAAAAACTCAAAAATGTTTAACTTCATCTCAGAGATTTCCGAGAAAAAAAACAAGGAAATTTTCTGATTTCCAAAAGTGAGAAATTTGTGTAAAAAAGGCAATAATTTTAATTTTTTATTTTTTTTTTTTAGAAATATACTCCACCTACAATGGCCCTGACACACTGTCATAAATAACCAATCCTATTCATGATACAGAGGAAGTGAGGTTTTAAAGAATTACCTCATCAGTCAGTCAAGTTTATTTGTATAGCACGTATTTGCAATAAGGCAGCTCAACGTTCCTTACATCATAAAACACAAAACTGATGTTATTTTACATCTTGATTTTTATACCATCCTCCCTGACAGACAGACCGGTGTGCAAACTGGCAGATCTGGGAATCCCCTCTTCCACCTGTCCTGAGTTAAGGACTTCCTGATGGATCACAAACAAAGAGTCTGCATGGGGCCCCATACTCAGCTGTGTGCTGAGCCCTCTGCTCTTCACTCTGAACACACATGATTGTGTTTCAGTCCATCAAAGTACCATTCTTGTTAAATTTGCAGACTGCACATCTGTAGTGGGTCTTGATCTTCGGGGAGAATGAATCTTTCTACAGGAATGAGGTGGAGTGACTCACAAAGTGGTGCACAGACAACAATTTAATCCTAAACACAGCCAAGACCAAGGAGATCATAGCGGATTTTAGCAGTAAAGGAGAAATTCAACCAATATACATCTGTGGATACCGGGTGTATCCACAGATACACCCGGTATCTGTGGATACTCCCAGGAAACTGAAGTTTGACATCAGTTTCCTGGGAGATCATAACCTGACCTGGGACGTAAACACAGCAGAACTGGCAAAGAAAGCCCAGCAGAGACTCTATTTTCTGAGAAATTATATTTCTCAAAAACTGCTGGTGTCCTTCTATCGATGCTCTATTAAAAGCATCATCTGCTGTTGTCTCTGTGGTTCTCCAGCTGCACAGCAGCACAGAGGAAAACTCTCCAGAGACTCATACAATCTGCCCAGAGGACCATCAGCTGCTCTCTGCCTTCTCTTGAAGATCTCCAGATCCCACTGCCTCAG